GGAGGGGGGGGGGGGGGGAGGTTAAAATCTGGAAGGTGTTCAGCAACCGTCAATTTTAATTACAATGCCAGCTCCCCGTCTTGTGAAAGAAGAGAAAGAATCTACTGGATGGTTGCGCTGGGTTTCCTTTCTTCTCGTCTCCTCTCCCCCCCCCCATCAAGAGACGACTCCGCCGGTCGGAAGATGGATCCCCTTTTTCTTTTGCTTCCTCTTACATGTAAAACCCCAAAATAAAACAAGGCAGAGGTAGGCGACGGGAGTCAGGAATAGCAGGTTTATTTTCCTTTATAAATAATCAGTTTCTCCCCCTATGGAGAGGAGCTCCCACGGCTTCTTATGACGCCCCCCCCTCTTTAGAAACCACAGCCCCACATCACACACCCCCAAGTCCTTTGTCTCCTCCCAGAAAAGGGATACAATGAGCCCTTCCCCGTCAGTCCGTGGTTCTTCTAAAGACCTCTTTTGCTTCAGTCTCATTGTACGGCCCACTCCAACACACACAAACACAACACCACGGATCACATGCTGTAAAAGCCCCTTTCCTCCTGGGAGGGGGCGTGATGCAGCCCCCCACCCCCTCCCCAAGAAATGGACAACATCAACACTTCTCTCTCTCTCTCCCTCTCTCATGCACACAGACACAGACATGGGCTCGCAAAGGCAAATCTTTTGCAGTTGGACCCTCACCCCCTTTCCTTACACTTTTAATGCCCCAGCTCAACGAGGAAGGTGGGGGCGGGGGCGGTGTGCCATCATTGCACAGTCGAGGCTAAGCAAGCAAGTTGCAGGCAGTTTTGCCTTTCTTCCACAACTGCCGGATCCAAGGAGGTTCTTTCCTAGTGCCGCAGAGCTCCTCGTAGCAAGTTCTTCCTTAGCCGCAGGTGGCTTAGAGGCCTTCCGGGAAAAGTCCACTGCTTAAGCGAATGGGCTGGAGAAGATCACACACACACACACACACACCCCGAACAAACCACAGTTCCCACGGAAGTACAGAGGAACCGCCTCCTGTCCAGAAGGCGGCCTGTGGTTCAGAGGCCACCAAAGGACACGGCTTCAGAAAAGAATTGCGCCGGCGTCACTCCCGTCGCTAAACAACAGCCACGGTTTTGTTCACGTTAGAGTGGCATAAATAATGGAAACGCAGACGCACAGAGACCCGACCCTTGGAATTAAGAAAAATAAAGACTCGGGGAAGCTCCCTCGGGCCTTGCCTGCTCCAGGTCACTTCAGGGACCCCCCCCCCTCAGCACACCCGCCACGGGAGAGTCTGAGCGATGCCCCCTTATCTGATGGGGCGGCCAGACCAGGAGGCGAAGAGGGAGGGGAGGCCACCCTCGAGGGATGCCCCCTGGCCTGTCACTGCATGGGGATGTACGGCCAGCTGAAGCTGGAGCCGGACAAGAGCATGTCCCGAATCAGCGTCTCGATGGGGGTCTTGCCCACCAGGCGGACGAAGAACAGCTGCTCGATCACCGGGGCGGAGACGATGCGCAGGGAAGGCATGCGCAGCAGGAGGCGTCCAAAACGGCTGGGCTGGTTGGGGTACTGGTTCCGAACGTACTCCTCCAGGGCGCACTGCGACTTCTCCTGCACGCTCTCCACATGGCACCAGTCCGTGAGTCCCACTGCATCTGCAAGAGAGGAGGGGGCAGTGAGCGCAGCACGCCACGAGCAAGTGGGACGCGGGCTCTTGTGTCTCGCTGTGTCAGGATCCCTGGTTTTGATTGGGGGGGGGTTGCAACCAATGTTCCCCCTAAGCTGTGGAGTCTTCTGAGCAAAAATTCCACTTTGTGAGCCACTGGCATTAAAGTTGTGAGCCAGCGATTTGGCCACTGCATGTTAGTCTGCTCTGGAGCCGTCCTCCCTGAGCTAAGACAAAAATGTGTGAGCCGGAGGCTAAAAAACTGTAAGCTAGCTCACACTAACTCAGCTTAGAGGGAACACTGGTTGCAACCAACGCTCCCTCTCAGCTGTGGAGTCTGGTGAGCAAAAATTCTACTTTGTGAGCTGCTGGCATTACAGTTGTGAGCAAGCGATTTGGCTACTGCACAAATCAGTTTCCTCTGGAGCCATCCCTTCCTGAGCTAAGAGAAAAATGTGTGAGCCGGAGGCTAAGAATCTGTGAGCTAGCTCACACTAACTCAGCTTAGTGGGAACACTGGTTGCAACGGCTGAGGCTGATGGGAGGGAAGGGTGCCGGGAAGGGCTGCTGTGGGGCAGAGGGAAAGGCACCCCCCCCCCACAATTTTATTTACTTAATTAATTAATTAATTTGGTTGATATCCCGCTCTCCCCGCCGAGGCAGGCTCAGGGTGGCTTACATTAAAAGTTAAAATATTAAAACACCAATGGATTGACACAACGCAACTTCATAAAAATCATAACGTAACAATCAGAAATACAGGTAAAGTGCTGATGGCGGTAACATCATAGTCATAGAATGTTAAGAGTTGGAACTGGGACCTTGCAGGGTCATCTAGTCCAACCCCCTACGCTCTGCAGGAGCACAGCCGAGAAAGAGAGCCCTACAACATACCCGACAGAGGGTCGCCCAGCCTCCGCTTGGAAAACGTCCAGCGAAGGAGCATCCACCGCCTCCCGAGGCAGTCTGTTCTGCTGCTCAACCACTCTCACAGTCAGGAAGTTTCTCCTGATATTTAGCCGGTATCGACTCCCTTGTCATTCTCACCCATTAGATCTAGTCTTGCAATCCGGAGCAAGAGAGAATAGATCTGCTCCATCTTCTACATGACAGCCCTTCAGATACTTGAAGACTGCAATCATGTCCCCTCTAAGCCTTCTCTTTCCCAGGTTAAACAGACCCAACTCTTTCAGCCTCTCCTCATAAGACTTGGACTCCAACCCTCTCACCATCCTGGTTGCCCGTGATCGGATGGTAACAAAGTAGGCCGTGTTCGGATGGTAACAAAGGTGTGGCCAAGACCGGTGTCTGGAGTATCCCTAGCTGTTAATGTTGTTGTTGACACAGAGGGCCTGAACAATTCAGCTGTTATTAGTGGGGGGGTTACCTGCCCAAACAGAAGTTCACCAAGGGTGAGCAGTGGAGGTTGCCTTCCGGAGTCAAAGCTCAGTTGTAAAAGGTGCTTGGAAAGGGGGTGCCTCTGACCATGTGCAGAGCGCCTCTTCCTGGCCACTGAATGGCCACAAGCACAGCTGGGGTCACGGAGGAGGACTTCCAGTTAAGAGGGCATGTAGCTTCCCAAGCAGGGGTGGGTGCCTCTCCCTGTCGAAGAGAAGCCGTGAGTCCCAGCTTGTCTCCATGATGCGTTTTTATCCTGCCCCCCCTCCCCCCGCCAAGGTGCTAGTACATGGCTCCCCCTTCCCCTTGCCATGGCTGTACAGACACTTGTCAGGGATGCTCTCGGGTTGGACTGGATGCCCTCTATGGCCCCTTCCAACTCTGTGTGATTCTGTGACGCAATTCATTCCCACAATAACCTTGTGAGGCTGCAGAGAGAGGGGCCCAAGTGACACAGCAGGTCTTTTCTCAGAGCCAAGGGCTAGTTCTCGGTCTTGGGAGAGCCCTGGGCAAGAAAGTCGACGGGAATAAAGGTTCTTTTGAAATGCAGTGCTGGAGGAGAGTTTTACACATACCATGGACCGCCAAAAAGACAAGTGAGTGGTGGAACGAGCTCCCAGAGGAGATCAGGGCCCTGCGGGACCTTGTACAGTTCCGCAGGGCCTGTAAGACGGAACTCTTCCACCAGGAGCTGCCCACCACTACCACCAACTATTATTACATCAATATTTGGGGTCAGCGGACTGGCCCTGTATGGAGATCAGACCAAAATGCCGTGGAAGACCGGAAGACCACTAAGTCGGGATTTAATACGTCAGCTTTAGTACACCACCTAACTTTACTAATGGATAACTGTTGCGAGCATTTTAAATGTTATCGTATGATTGCTTTAATTGTTTTAAATGTTTTATTTAACCGGCCATACTGTGCCGCTAATGTGAGCCGCCCTGAGCCCGTCCGCGGGGAGGGTGGGATATAAATATAATAAATAAATAAATAAAATAATGTGGGTTCCCAATCAAATCAAGCCTGTAATCTCTGGCACATTACACATGCAGTTCACACAGATTTTCACAGCAATAATCCTTTAATCTCGATTTTGGATTCTGTGACCACCTTACACAACGTTCTCTCCCCCCCTCCCCCGGTGTATTTATTCTACAGCTACAATTTTTTAAAAATGCACTTTTCTAAATTGGGGTAGAACGTCACTTGTGGCCAGTGTTCCCTCTAAGCTGAGTTAGTGTGAGCTAGCTCACAGTTTTTTGGCCTCTGGCTCACACATTTTCGTCTTAGCTCAGGAAGGATGGCTCCAGAGCAAATTAATTTATGCAGTAGCCAAATGGCTCGCTCACAACTTTAATGCCAGTAGCTCAGAAAGTAGAATTTTTGCTCACAAGACTCCACACCTTACGGGGAACATTGCTGTGGCGTAGGGAGGTGACGTTCAAAGTTTTTTTAAAAGAATTACGCAGTTGCCCTATTGTAGCTGCGCAGTAGTGTCCAGTGAGCACCTTCCATTTAAATCCTCACGGCTCAGGTTTTGCAGGTGCATTTTAGTGTTAGTGGGTTGAATGAAAGGGAACAGATCGGAACCCAGGCAAAGAGGGAAAACCGATGTTGAAACTGACCAGACCTTTTTGGAAATTGGCAAGCAGCTGGAAGCCCAGTTTGCTATACCCCCAAGCACCAGGGGATTCCCTGCTGCCTTATAGGCCACTGTGAAAAATGGGAGCCACACAATCTCAAAATATGGGGAAACATGTTGAGTGTACAGAATGCACGGTAGAACCCCCTGACACTGGCACTGCAACCTGTGATCCTTGGCAACACGTGTGTGTGTGTGTGTGTGTGTGTGCCTGTGCAAAGTCGGCTGCAGCTCCACCGTACTTTGCATAGGGCTGCAGTTTGTACGGGGGAGGAGTCCCCTGGCACAAGGTCTGGAGAGCTTTTTTTTAGTCCTGTGCCACTAAACTGAAAAAATGGGGGGGGGGGGATATTTCACCAATGTCCTAGAGCAGCTGCATAGTAACACTAATTTCCTGCCCTTCCTTGAAAATTTGTATGGTTTTTTCCTTTGTGGTTCTCTCATTTGATCCTGCACACTGGTCGTGAATGATCTTGGCTGTTTTTTAGAGCATGTCCTGTGTGGATTGCTCTCTGTCCTCCAAATGGATTGATCCCAAGCCATGTTCGGCAGTTTGCAGAAGGTCCATGTGGCTCAGCGGCCATTTTAATGTTGTCTTCTAGTGCCCTGGCCCCACTGCTGCACCTCCTGATGGCACCTGGTATTTTTGGCCACTGTGTGACACAGAGTGTTGGACTGGATGGGCCATTGGCCTGATCCAACATGGGCTTCTCTTATGTTCTTATGTAGTGGTGGCTACAAGCATGGACGGCTTCAAGAGGGAATTGGATAAACATATGGAGCCGAGATCCATCAGTGGCCATTAGCCACAAGGTATAGATAGGAACTCTCGGTCTGGGGCAAGGGATGCTCTGTATTCTTGGTGCTTGGGGGGGGGGCAACAGTGGGAGGGCATTTGGTGCCCTGGCCCCATTTCTGGACCTCCTGAGGGCACCTGGTATTTCTGGCCACTGTGTGACACAGAGTGTTGGACTGGATGGGCCACTGGCCTGATCCAACATGGGCTTCTCTGATGTTCCTAGGTTAAGAGCAGAGGTCCATCGGGGGCTATTAGCCACAAGGTCTAGACAGGAACTCTCGGTCTGGGGCAAGGGATTCTTGGTGCTTGGGGGGGGGGCAACAATGGGAGGGCTTCTAGTATCCTGGCCCCACTGCTGGACCTCCTGATGGCACCTGGTATTTTTGGCCACTGTGTGACACAGAGTGTTGGACTGGATGGGCCACTGGCCTGATCCAACATGGGCTTCTCTGATGTTCCTAGGTTAAGAGCTGAGCCTGATCGGGGGATATTAGCCACAAGGTCTAGACAGGAACTCTCGGTCTGGGGCAAGGGATGCTCTGTCTTCTTGGTGCTTGGCGGGGGGGCAACAGTGGGAGGGCTTCTAGTGTCCTGGCCCCGCTGTTGGACCTCCTGATGGCACCTGGTATTTATGGCCACTGTGTGACACAGAGTGTTGGACTGGATGGGCCACTGGCCTGATCCAACACTGCCTTCTCTTATGTTCTTAATGTTAGGCTTCTGGAGACTGCCAAAATGGTTCCCCCTCCCCAACACTCTTCACTAAAGCATTAAAGGGAAAAATGCTTTTAAAGTTTTAGGCTTCCCATCCCAGAGTCTCTCTCTCTCCCTCTCTTTACATCTCGTGATAATTTCATTCCATGCTGAGGATCCCCCCCCCTTATTTTGTTTTCATGCAGCACTGAAAGCTGCCGTTTGCCTCCTCTCCGATCCCCCCTTCCAAGTCAATACTAGCAAGGTTATGGCAAAAATTATGAACTATATAAACAAAAAGCTGATCACCGAATTTGAGAATAAGTGGAGAGCCTTTTATAATTACTACAAACTACATATCTCTCCTTATATACAACTGAGTAAGGGAGCGGAGGCCTCTTTCTGGCGCCCGCACTGGCCTTCCCTCGCACGGGGCGGCCTTCGCCGGCCA